GTGTGTGTGTGTGTGTGTGTGTGTGTGTGTGTGTGTTTCACTGAGAATTGAATCCAAGACCTTGTTCATACTAGTCAAATGCTCTACTATTGAGCTACACTTGCAGCCTGACAATACTAATTTTTATCTTTAAGATCTTCCTTTTTTGAGGTCCTATAGCTGACCCCACTTCTGATGGAAAGTCACTTTAGATGCCTTAATAAACTCAGGGATCTTACTATCACGTTCTAGCCTCAGGGTCCACTGTGGATCCTTAGTTACTCTCATAGCTTTAGTTTACAGTCCCCAGCTTCATTAATTATTGGCCATACAACCTAGCCATACCACATACTTCATCTGTGCCTTGGTTTCTTAATCTTTTTTAAAGAGTTGACTCTTTTCTTAAAATACCTTTATTTTTATTTATTTTTCTGTGGTGCTGAGATCAAACCCAGTGCCTCACATATGCTAGGCAAGCACCCTAACACGGGGCCACAATCTCAGCCCTCTTAATCTTAAATTGGGGGAATAGAACCAAGTTCATAGGTTTACTGGCTATTAGGTGAACTGGCATTATAAAACCCAATGACTATGATGTTAATCACAGATGGTTTTGAGAATTATAAAAAGGGGATGGGGGAGGGCAGGGCACCTCATAGCATGAGCTTCAAAACTGCATTGAGAAGCAGTAAACTGAGAGATTTTAAAAAAATAGGCAGTGTCAAAACAGAAATATCATACAGGTGAGGTGAGACAGAGGGATATGGTTGCAATTGCTGAAATGAGAGAGCAAGTGAGATGATTAAAGGCATCAGGGATTTTCTTCCCCAGAAACATCATCCCAAGAGTCAGATGGATAACTTCTTGTTTTAGGTCGACAAATATTCCATACACTTTACTTTTTGTCTAATTAGGAAAATTAGGTAGTGTTTTATTTTGTTTGAGAACCTATTGTCAAAGGACAAAGTTACAACAATTTAGTTACAAGATCTTAATTGGCTTAATTTTTTATTCTAGAACTGGGAGACACTTTATTCTATATTATAGAGTAAGTTCTCTAATAAGCAAGCAGAAGAGGTTGGTTTTATAGACAGAAAAAGAATTGAAGATAGAGACAACCAACAAACCAAACAAACAAAAGCCCTAAGAAGGGAATTGGACATTTAAAGTTACTTTCCTTGAAAGGCAAACCAGAAGGTAGAACAATAGAAAGATAACTGATTAATTACTTTTTTGTGTGTAAGGATTAAAGCAGAAAGAACTTCCTTATCATGCCTTTTTGAGAAATTTTGCTGTTATCTCTCTAATACAGGATTCTGAGACAGTCAGATAGACAGTTTAATTTCAGGTTGGTGACTAGAACTTTAGCTTAAGTGACTTGACTTAGATTTTCTGTTGGGGTCCTACGCAGGAGTAGGCCTAAAGAATTGTCTCCTTATAATTTTTATTTAATACCATTTATTAGAGGGTGGTAGTATAGACAGCAAAGAAAGAATTTTTTTTTTAAAGGAGAACTGGTTAACACATTTAGTTGAAAGATTAGACATCAAGAACATGAAAATGCTTATTGGGTTAAACATTTAGGACATAAATCAGTGAACATAGCTGTTTAGTTTCATTGAAAGAATTGGGATTTTCAATGATAAAACAGCAGCTTGAGGACTAATTTGAGGGGAAATATAGATGTGCGGAAGTGGAAAAGCAGACCAATATTATATTCTTTTTTTTTTTTTTTGTACAGAGGATTGAACTCAGGGACTCTTAACCATAGAAGTATATCCCCAATCCTTTTTATTTATTTTTATTTTGAGACAGAGTTTTACTGAATTGTTGAAGATCTCACTAAATTGCTGAGGCTGGCCTCGAACTTCTGATCCTTCTGCTTCAGCCTCCCAAGTCACTGGGATCTCAGGTGGGCATCACTGCAACTGGTCAAGATGTCATTTTTAAGGAGCTTGGCTGTGAAGGGCATAAAGAGGGAAGTGCCTCAGAAGGACTGATTACCCAGAGAAAAGGTTTAGAGATATGTATGTAATTTAGGAGCAATACAAAGGGAGAGGCTGGAGAATCAACCAGAGCAGAAATATAGGATGCAGAGAGAACTCTGAGGAGGTAGAATGAAGTGGGACCAAGATATTGAACAAAAGAATCCACCCTGAGCCAGAAAAGAAATGTCTTCTACTGAGGAGGAAGCAATATGGAAGATATATACCGAAAAATATTAAAGTAAAAAGCAGAAAATTGGGAACGTTTGAAACTGAAATCTATACCTTCTTCTGTGTCTTTGGAGCCACTGGCCCAAATGGGTATATCCTCTACTCTAAACAGAGAAAGTAGGGAGTAAGAACCTAAAGAGAAGGTGACATCAAATAGAACATTTGCCTTGATTAATAACTGAAAGCCCAACATTGGGGATTTATTATTTAATTTTATTGGCTTTAAGAATATAGGTGACTTATTGGTTCATTCAACTGAAAAGGTGGTGGGTGGGTGGTCAGTTGCACCATAACTCTCTTGCTAAGAGCTGTTTTGGGTTCCCCTTCAGGGTGGCAGTAACATTGCTGAGGAGTTCCAGGTCTCAGAATCATGTATGAAAACTTCCAGGGCTAAGAAGCTATTTCTTTCAGGTGTGCTCTTCCCAGAGTACCTAAGTTTTGTGCACAGAACTCCCCAGCAAACCTTCTTGTACACCTCATTGGCCCAACTACTTTTCCTGGACGGTTTCTTGTGGCAAGGAAGTTCCCTTTGGTGGTTGGATTACCAAGTGCTGGGTAAATTCCTGAACCCATCACTAACACAGCTGTGGACCAGCTGTTCTCAAGCAGAACTCTAGCATGCAGGTGTGCAGTAGGCATTTTGGATTATTAGAATGATTGCAAGTGGAGGCCATGGTTGCTAAACTTCCTAAGATGCAGGTGATGGCCCTGAAGAGCAAAGAACTGGGCAGCCCCATATGCCAATTGCACCTGATGCTAGGAAATACTGCTGTAGAAGAGAGACCTACTCTTGAATTAGCTCACTGGTTCATGGAAGGATACCAATGTCTGGACAAAAGTATAGAAAGAAGGGGAAGCTGGTGCAGGGAAGGCAGCCAATCCCAGCTACTATAGAGATCATAGGCTTTGAAGCAGAGAGCCTGGGATTTAAATCTTGGCTCTGCTACTTTCAAGCTGTATGATCTTGGGCAGGTTAATGAAGCTTTGAAAGCCTTACTTTCTTTAGTAAGTTTAAAAAAAGGAATAATAATACCCACTCATGAGATTACTGAGAGATTAATGGATAAAAAAAGAGTTTGAAATGTTCTGGCTCATAGAAGGGGCTCAATGTCTGTTGATTTCCTTTCTTCCTGTTCTTATGTGTATTAGTTTATGGTGTAGCCACTTGATAAAACCTGAAAGGATCAGTACCTTGGCATTTCCAACAAATGTTTTTTTGAGGTGCTAATATCATCTAATGAGGGCATGAGCCATCATTTAAACCATTAGATTAGGAACATTACAGATGGTCCCAGCACAATGTGTTCATGTCACAGATGGCTCATAATAGCAAGTCTGTATTAATAAACAAGAATAGACATAACAGTTTGAGCTCTGGGCTTTCATTTCTTTCTTAAATATACTATTACTGTATGAAATAAATAAAATGTTTACGCATACATATTTGCTTTTTATCTGTTTCACACGCAAAAAAAATGGCTCTCATTTAGCTTTTAAAGGCATCGTTTGCCCTTCAAACACAGGTCTTTGTGGATACTGCTCCTTCTGTCTGGAATTTAACCCATAATTTTCTTTGAGATTCCATGAAGATCATTGATTTCCCTGGAAAGGCTGCTCCACCTTTCTGGACTATATGGTTTCTTTAGTTTTTATTCTCATATCCCTGCGTTTTTGTTATCTATTGATGTTACAAACCACTTCAAAATCCAATGGTTTAAATACTAACAGGGTTATTACTTCTCATGATTGCTTTGGTTGGCCAGGGGTTGGCTAGTGTGCTGAGACAGTTAGAAAATCACAAAGCTGGTGTACCTTGCTGACTACCTATGCAACTCAGCTGGGACTATGGGTCAGTGCCCTTGGTTATGTTTCACGTGCACCCCTATATGTGATTGCTTGATTTCTCCCCACAGAAGAGTCTAAGAAACTACATTTCTCCCCACAACTAGATTCTAAGAAACTACATTCCAAGAGGCCTAATCAAACTTTTTGCTAACATAGATGTTTATAATGTCCCAATGGTGAAAGTTAATTTGTGTGGCCAAACCCAGTGTCATCATGGAAGGAGATTACTGAAGGATAAAATAACAGGAGGCATGTTTCATTGATGCCAACAAAGTTTACCATAGCTAGTGAACCCTCCCTTCATAGAACTCATCATTGTTTGCAACTATGTATTTGTCATATTTATTTTATTATTTTTTCTTTTTTTTTGACTCTATTACCTATAAAAACAAAGAACTTTTTGCTTTTTCTGCTAATCATTGTGGATCAAAACCTTATTTTTGAAGATGGCCAAATGACTCAGAAACTAACAGTAGGTGCCACTATGCAGGGCTTGCAAAAGGAATTGGTCCAAAACTGGTCTGGCCAGTGTTAGTAGATCATCCATCTCATCACTATTTTCAAGAGAGTTGCAGGCATATGGTGCTCTCTCCCCGAAACATGGGAGAAGGGGTTGAGGAGCTTCCCTCTCACCTCTGATCAAGTGAGAGGGATTGACCTGAAGACCTTAATATATGATCCTTGAATTTTGGCTCACCATTACTCTAGAGAGGGAAGGCAGAGATTGAGTTAAATCATGTGGTCAATTATTTAGTCAACCATTCATTTATAATGAAATCCCAATAAAATCTCTGGACACCAAGGCTTGGAGGAGTTTTTAAGTTGGTAAACACATTGATGTGCTGACTGGGTGATATGTCCTGCCTCCACAGGGGGAGGGCACTGAGACTCTGTTTTCTCCCAGCTGTCACTTGCCTTATGTGTACTCTTTAAAATAAGGCTATGATTGCAAATATAGCATTTTTCTGAGTTCTGTGAGTTGTTTTAGCAAATTATCAAACCTGAGGGGATTAGGAGAATCTTTGAATTTTATCCCGCCAATCAGAAGTATGGATGGCCTGGGACCCCCCTCCCCATACTAGAAACAAAAACAAAAACAAAAACACTCCCCCCAGACTTGTAGTAGGGATTTAGTGCAAGCCATATTGAGGAGGACTTAGTCCTTATCCTGGGGGTCTGTGCCAACTCTGATAGTTAGCATCAGAAATTAATTAAAATATGCTCAGTTGGTGTTACTCTAGTTGGGGTTAAAATAAAATACTGAATAAGTAATCATCAAAATTTTTAGTTGTTTAATATAATTAAAAAATTGATTTCTCATAGTTATGTAGGTTGACTGGGCTTAGCAAATCAGCTCTTACCTGTATAGTAAAATAGTGAGATGGCAACTAAAACCTGAGCAGGTGATGCTTGGGCCAGGAAGGCTGGAACAGCCAGAACTGGCTAGGCATCTCTCTCTTTTCATAGCTTTTTCACACCACGATGATATCAGAGTTGTCATACTTCTCCTGTGGTGTCAGTCTTCTCTGTGAGTGAACATTCAAAGAAATCACAAGTAGAAGCTGCTGGTCTCTTAAGGCCCAGTCCTGACAATGAAGCACAGTATCACTTCTACTGTGTTGCACTGGACAACACAGTCACAAAACCTACTCAGTCTTAAGAGGAAGGGGCACAGAACCCAACTTACTGATGGAAGGAGTAAAAAATAATTTGTGGCTATCTTTAATTTGTCTCATAGGTTCTCTCTGGCATTTTAGACTGATTGCCACAAACAACATGACATGATGTCTGGTTTTCTGTTTATCTCTGTTCTTTCTTAGTCTTCAAAGATGCTATGGGTTGAATGTTTTTGTTCTCTCAAAAATTTATTTTGAAACTTTGCTTTCTGTCCCAATGTAGTCACGTTCGAAAGCGGTACCTAATGGGAGGTGTTCAGGTCGTGAGGGCTCCACTGTCATTAATGGATTAATGCTGCTACAACAGGAATTTGCAGAAGTGGGTTTTCTTTCTTCTGTTCTGTCATAGGAGGGCAAAGTGATTATCCTTTGCTCACCTTTTCACCTTCCACCATGTGAGAACATAGCAAGAAGCCCCTCACCAGATGCTGGCACCTTGATCTTGGATTTCTGATCTTCTAGAACTTTTTATAAATAGGTTTTATAAATGCTGTATACCTAGCATGCAGGCTAGGTATGCTGTAATAGTAATGTGTTGTACTAATACAGTAATGCTGTAATAGTAACACAGAATGGGCGGGACAAATGGAAACTTCATTCTTCCTGTACTCAATCTCAATCTCTTCTGATCTTTTCTCCTCATTACTCATTTACTCTTTTTGCTTTTTTTTTTTTTTTTTTGTGTGTGTGTGTGTGTGTGGTGCTGGGGGTTGAACCCAGGGCCTTATGCATGCAAGGCAAGCACTATACCAATGGAGCTATATCCTCAGCCCCTCATTTACTCTTGATAATTATAACTACTGTTTTGACTTTATTCATCACTTTTAGGTTTATGATCCTCCTATTTTTCTAAAGATGGTTACTCTCCTGACTTACAGCTGAAGACCTTTTACAACATTTGTGGAATGCAACCATACAGGCTTTGTGACTTTGTCAGATCCCACTCACCCATGAACAGAATTGTGAGTTTTGACTCCAAGTTGGTTGAATCTTCCTTGTATTACTGTTCTAAGAATCTCCCATTTTCATATAGCTGTACCCTCATTCTTGGCAACTTCCACATTTCCAGAATGACCTAGTCATGGGACCCAAAAGTCATGGGACCCAAAAAAGTCCAAAAGTTGTGGGAAGGCTGACTGGCTACATGAACAAGAATGACTTATAAGAAATTTAAAAGACATTTACTGTATAACCTACATTTAGTAATTTCCAGGTCATTCAGCTAATAAGAAGAATTGATATGGTTTTTGTGTTTCTACTATTTGTACTTTGTCATAATTGCATTTTATAGCTAAAACATGAACAACTTGTAGCTGAGGATGTAGCTCAGTGGTAGAGCACTTGTCTAGCATGTGTGATGCCCTCAGTTCAATTCCCAACACTGAAAAGAAAAGAAAATTAAAATTATAAAAAAAAAAAACAAGAGAAACAATGCACAACTCAGTTGGCCAATATATGATTCACAGCACTAATTCCTATTTTTTAAGTCTTTCACAGAATATGCTGACATGATATTTAGTAGTAAAAATAAAAACAGGTAGTTGTTCCTGTAAACATTTTTAAGAAAAGATACATATTTGGAACACCTGTTCACTTTTAAAGGAGAAGAAATAGACTATGAACATTGTTTAAATAAATCTTAATCTGGTTACATGTATACTTGAGCTCTGGTGGTAGACCATTTCTGTGTTTCATCACTTGTTACCTCTAAGGTGCAAAAACTTAAGTTTTGTGATGGACTATTACTGTAGTTTCTTTCCTATAATTGGTCTGCTTCTGAGGCTAATTTAGCAATCAGATCACTGCATAAGTATTCCCATTTATGGATGTACCACAGTTTCACAACCTCAGTCTGATGCCATCTTCAGTGAACCTCAACAGGCATAAGGCACTGTGGAGGATATAAAGATGCCTAAGAAGTTAAGATTACAGAGGGAGAGCAGAACTACAAGTAACTGAGTATGTAGCTACATGAGTGTGAAAGAGATACAGGAGTGGTACAGTGCAGGGGAATTAAGGTTTGCTTCTCATTTGAAAAGAAAGAGAAAGGAGAAAGCATTCCAGATCAAGGGGGCTGGGCAGAGGCATGGAGCAGGAGAGTTCAGACTGCAGTCAGGAATGAGTAAGCCCTGTGCTAACTAATACCCGAGTGTGAGTGGGCGACACCAAGGAAAAAGACTGAACAAAACAATGTGGCAGGTCCTGGACTCTTCTTTCAGAGAGGCATGAGTCATAGAAGCTTTGAGCATGACTGGGATTTGTTCCAACACTGTTCCATGATAATGTCTCTCAGGCAGTACTATGACACTGTTTGATTGCTTAAGCCTCTTGTGTCACTTTTTTTCTGATGGAAGAGACTCATTTTAAAATAAAAACAAAGCAAAATCTCTTACCCTTGACCATGTCCCCTTCTATTAATTTTATCCGTAAGTAGCCAAGTCCTTCAGAACACAGTAGAATCTGTCTCTAACCCTTCCACTTCTGTTATGTTCTTTAAAACCTCTCAACTTGTAGGAGGGTGGGGGGGGTGTAACTCAGTGACCAAGGACAGGCTTACAATATTCAAGGACCTGGATTCAATCCCCAGTACCAAAAACAAATCAAACAAACAAAAAAATCCTCCTAACTCCTCCAATATCAAGAAAAATCTACTGTAGAAAAATTACATGAAATATTTATGTAATTATTTTTTATTTTTATTTAAATTTTAGAGACCATCTCGTTATGTTGCCCAAGTTCCTCTTGAATTCCTTGAACTCCTGCTTCATCTCCCAAGTAGCTTGGACACAGGTGCACACTATCATGCCCAATGAAATACATAATTCTTAAAGAATATTTAGACAATACATAGGAGCAAAAGTATGAAGTTAAATTCACACATGGTCTACTGTCTCAAATGCAATTATAGTTAACATGTTGC